CATTTTTTAAGTTCACTTAAGTTGTTTATTTCATCAAATTTTTCTAATTTTAAGTCAGATTTGGCAAAACAAGGATTTAAGGTAAATTTTGAGGGATTTGAATGGTTTCATCAATGAGTTTTAAAATTTAATTGCAGGTTGTAAAGTTAAAACACACATTAGAATAAATAAACAAAGACTGGACACAACTATCACAACAGCTTACACAGCACACTACCCTGCCTCAGTCCGCAGCTTCACCTGCTGAGGTGCTGCTCAGGCCTGAAACTGAGCAGAGTGCTGTTCTCTTCATTTCACTCTTTAGTTATTTGGATTAGTTCCCCACACTCTGGAGTCTCTGTTCATTTCAGTTCCCTACGCTGCCCTACACAGCAAGTTGCATACCTGGTTCTCCATGCCTTCGGTCCCACAGTCAGCCCAGCTCAATATCCCACCCTGAGCCCAGCAGCAATTACTCATGTTTCATCTAACTACATTCCCCTACATATTTATTTATCAATCACATATAGCTAGCTCTGACTCATGTAGCAGCAGCATTTAAGTCAAAATGTGTGTAAACAATCGTATTGCTAGGCAGCCCAATGTGCCACAACAGTGATTTTACATTTGTTTCTATGCGGTCGAAATAACATCCTTGGCGGTTCTATGTAAAAATGGTTATACTTTCTTTTCTCTTTTGATCCCAAACACCCCAAAATTCAGTATTTGCTGAAGAAATCAATTTTTAAAACGGCATGAAATATGAGATCACGTGGTTTTAATTTAACAGAGGTCAAAACAAGGTTCTAGTGTTAATGAAAATAAGTTTCTAACAATGAAATTCAATTAATAACAAAAAAAAATAGAAACCCTGACAAATAAGGAGAATAGATTTAGCCCCATGTGTCTATTCTGTGTGTGATGTGTTTATGTGTCACCTGTACAGGTGGTATGGATTCATGATAACTTGGCAGTATCTTCAGAACCACAATTCCACTAGCTGCTTGCAGCTCTTCCTGTAAAACCCTGGGGTCCCTGCCCACTTCTCGTCCGTTCGCCTGTCAGTAAAGTAGACAACAAGAGTAATGACAAAACAGATTCCTTACATGTATTAAAGGTTAAGCTAAAGGGTTTTAAACAGCTGACTAGAGTTTTACATTTAAATTTGCAAATTCGATCAGTTGGCTTAAATATTTACAGAACTTTGAAGCATGTAAAAATTAAAAGCCTCTTGTGGACTATGCAGATGACAAATTGAACAACTGAAAATGTACTCTTAAGGTGTTAGCCCACTACAGTGCACCAGAACAGGTCCCAATAGCCCTGTCAGGAGGGATAGACCTGCCCAGTGCAAGCGAGCTTCACAGAGTATTTAAACACAGGTATGTGACATACTGTTTTGACTGGAAGAAGCTCAGGTAGTAACCTAGCACAATTATGCCTACCTGAATGAAACACAACTCAAACACCAAGTAACTGACTGAGCTTCTGATATCTTACATTCATAGTATCTGCTCAAACATCCACTCAAGTGAATAAAGTTCCACAGATTCCAGGCGTGAAACTCCAATAACTGCAGCACCAAAAACCCCTGAATAAAATGTCAAAAAAAAAACTTTCACTAGCAAATGATCCTTACTTTTGCTATTTTTTCCTGATCTATTCATTTGCACAGTATTGGGATTGAACTGCTGTGGGTTTCTGCCCCATGCTTTCATAAGAACACATAGTTTATCTCGCCATCTAGTGGTTAAACAATAGTATGGACACAGATTTATGCATTTAGACTTTAGACGTTCAGAACGCTGTGATCAATAAACAGCGGGGCGACAATGACCACTTTAGACAATGACATCATGTTAGGATGATATGAAAGACATTTTATATTGTTTCACAAACAATTATGAGAAAATAAAAAAGGTCCAGAGAAATTTCAGTGACACCTTAATGTGCCAAAATATGTGTAACCGCTCTTCTCATTTTAGGTTTTTTCTTATGGTAGTTGTGGAGGTACGCAAATAATCCAGAGCATTTCATGCTTGAGCCTGACCTTGAGTCATAGCGTTTAACAAGTTGACACTCAAGAAGAAATAAACACAAGAGAACAAGAGTCGATAAGTAAATGCTTAACGAGACGATTGATACGGTAATACTGTAATACGGTAATACTGTAAGCTTCATATGTAAATCAGGCGGGAACTCAGAACAGCATAAAAAAACTGGACACATGTGAAACAGCTACTGCTGTAAAAATAGCTTCCCTCCCAAGAATCACAGTGACAGTGGGCCAGGTGCACTGATTCCCTGGAGTCTCAGCTGGTCTCTTGTTAACCTCACAGTGAGACACATTTTAATGTAGATGAAA